AACGAGATTGGCATATTTGGAAATTTTCCAAATTTTACAAATTTCCAGAAGCATCTGTTCGCATTCCTTCTCTTTGTACCTTTCGATTCGTTCACGCGCCTCTTCCGTCTTTCATCTGGCCACCTATGTAGCCCCTATATAGAGTTTTTGCCAATTAGTAGAAGAAAGGAGATACCGATCGAGAACGAGGTCAGTAGAGAATACTATCCTTATGCCCGTGATACTCAGACCCGGTGAACCTCACGTATCGTCCTATAATTGCACTTGTTCCTATGCCACGTTCGATTCCGTTATTAATCGCGTTGGAAAACGAAGAATCGCGAGGACGATCGATCCGTTAACGCAAAGACCAATTGCGAAACAGAATCGAATCTTACTCGTTTCTCCGTGTAAAGTTCACACCTCTACTGGCGATTGTAATGTCTACGTAAGTACGTGCGAAAGTATGAGTAGATTTGTATGTGCGTACGCGTACGTATACGCATACGCCTATGTGTTCTACGCACAAGCGTATTCCGTTTTGAGACACACGAACGATGTACGTTTTCTCCGACATATATACGTACGTTGTGTCGTCTTATTGTTAAGTCTTGTGTCAAGGACAGCGAGTGGAAGAACCAAGCGTAGGATCCGAGCATATTCATAAGTTTTTCTTTGGAAATATACACGCAAAGCGATTCTTCGATCGAATCGAATACCTCGGGATATAAACGTCCGCGCGTCGCGCTGTCGATTCTTCTTCGACTTTGGTACGATTGGTAATTGAAATCCAGAGACGCGCAAAGGATCGCAAAGAACAAAAAACGAAAAAAAAAGGAAAAGAAGAAATCTTTCGAGTAGCTTCGAATTACTTATAGACGTATATGTACATACGTCTGAATTGAATACGAAACTTTGAACGAACAACACGGATCAGGAACGTGAGCATCATCGCGTGCCATCGCGTTTTGCTTCATGGATCGAGCTAAAAAGGAGATAAAAGAAGGAAGGAAGGAAGGAAGGAAGGAAGGAAGGAAGGAAGGAAGGAAGGAAGGAAGGAAGGAAGGAAGGAAGAGAGTGTGAGAGAGAGAGAGAGTGAGGGTAGAGGGCGAGAGAGAGACGAAGGAGGACGAAGGAGAGAGGAAAGAAGACGAGAAGAGGAGGCCCGTTCGCGGTGGAGTCGCGACGTATCGTTGCGCCGTATCGAGGTTTAGAGGAGCGGTACACGTCGTCGCGTTATCGGAAGCGAAATAACGCGACGAGTCGTCCGGCTGGCGAGACGACTGAACACCGCCGACGCTCGTCCAGGGAAACAGAGAAAGAGGGTGGAGAGGAAGAGGGGGACAGAGGGAGTGAGAGAGAGAGAGAGAGAGAGAGAGGAGAGGGAGATAGACGGATAGATAGACGGACAGATAGAGAGAGAGAAGAAACGAGAGGGAGAGAGAGGGAGAGAAATAGAAAGAGGTAGAGAGCTAGAGAGGGAGAGAGAGAGAGAGAGAAAGGCGGAAGGCAGGGAAAAAAGAGAAAACATCGTGCCGTCTTTATCGTCCGGGGCGTGGGTGCAGCGAACGCGAATCCCTCGGACGAAACCGCTTTGCCGCGAGCAAACGACGAGCGGGAGCGAGGAAAAAGACGCGGAGAAAAAGAGATGGTCGAGGACGGTACGGATCCGTCGCGAGAATCGAGTCGAGTAGCCTTTTCTTCTCTCGTCGGAACGTCTTGAGGAGGCCCGAGCAACGGTGTGGCATCATCGCGGGAAGTCGAGGAACGACGAGAGACGAGTAGTAGACGTTGCGCGTGCAACGGACGAGGAGGAGGAGAAGAAGAAAAAGGAAGAGAAGAATAAGCAGAAGGGAGAAGAAGCGGACGAGGAGAAAGGAGATCGAGAGAGCGGAGCGATATACGCGGAAGAGGAGAAACTTGGGAAAAGAAAGTTGGGAGCCGGGAAGGATATTATTCGGCACGGCGAGCAGCGATCGCCGCGGTGGTGGTCGTCGTCACGTGTAGCCGCGTGCGGGTGAAAACCGTGAGAGAGCGCGGACTCTGGAAAAGGAGCGAGACGATTTCGCGGTCTCAAGCGGAAAGTAGCAGCGGAAAGTAGCAGCCAAAGACGGACACCGTGGGTCCGGCTAGCGGACGACGTTTACCTCTCTCTTTGTCCGTCGGCACACTCGGCTGCGAGATTTTTCCTTACGTCGATCGAGCGTGGTGGTCGACGAGAAGAAGGAGAAGGACGACGACGACAACGACGACGACGACAACGACGGCGAAGACGACGACGACGACGACAACGACAACGATAACAACGACGAGAGCTCCGACGGTGGATCGAGGAGGCGTTATCAAGACCGGCCGCCGGATATCCTGGAGGACGATGACGATGGTGGTAAGAAGGATCGCGAGCGGTAACCGGAGGACGAGTAGCACGAGAGGACTCGATTGAATCTCGATCGAAACTCGATCGAATCCGCTCGATTGGCGGCGATCGTCGCCGCCATCGCCGTCGTCTGTCGCCCCGTAGCCGGCGACCGTCGTCGGCGACCGACCGGGCGAGCCGTCGGTCCCGTCGTCGCGACGGTACCAGCGGAGATCGCCTATCGTTTTACCCTGCTATACCGGTGTGACCAGTAGTAATATAATAACACGCAGTGTAAGGGAGGGAGGAAAGAAAGAAAAAAAGAAAGGGAAAAAGTTTGGCGTATTGCGAGGATGAAAGGATGGGATCGGTAGACATTTCGATGATCTTTCGTACGTGCAACGAATTATGCGAATATTTACCGGTACAGATGTTTACGTGTTAATCAACTTTACCCGATAAGTCTTGCTCGGTATTGCTGGTAACGGATATTGCAAGTAACAATATTTAATTGCAGTTGATGAAAAGTAACGAGACGATTCCTGGAATTTACAGTTTACCGGTGGTATCTGTCAATAGCGTTAGGACTATACGATTACTTTTCATGACGGTGGTTCGCGTAGTGACATCTAGAACAGTAGGATGTAAACTAAGGTGGGTGGCGCGGTATACTTGGCGCAGTTCTACTTTTTTAAACTCTTGTCAAATTTTAGTACGTACGCGATTGTCGAATGTCACGGTTCCTCCGGTATATCTGACAAAGCTGTTGGTATCAGGGAAAAGGAGATTAAACGATGCTGCATCTAAGTACGACGAATACGTATCGCTCGTCGAAAATCAATAAGGATTCTATTTTTCGAGGTAAAGGATCACTCGCTGAGATTCGTCGCTGGATAAGTTATACCGTGTCTAGCATTCGTTCTTTCGCTTTCGCTATCCAAAGCGATGGAATTTGCACTATGTTACTTACTAACAACGCCGCTGGTTGCCTAATTACGCGGTGGCAAATCGACGCGCGTCTTCTTGACCGACACAGGTCGTTGGTATCGTTGGATGGTCGTCGGTTTATCCAAAATCGTTCTTGCCAACTATCCGACATGTACAACATTGCTGCAGATTACTTTCCGGTTTCGACTAGTTTTCCGAATAGTATCCGAGGGCCAATAATCAGAAATAATCTATACGAGCTTTCCTACCACGATATTTTCTTCAAGCATCTCCAAGTAAAAAAGAAGAAAATATATCTCGGACAATCTCCGTTGCATTTTTTTCCTTTTCTTGCAGGAGATTCCAAGCTGTTCGATTTGCGACGGTATGGATACATAACCTTTTTTCGGCAATTTAAATTTGGCTCGTGGTTGATACGTAGCTTGCTAATTTGTATCGCGACGGTGTGACGTGTACTGGATTCGAACATTTTGCCAACTATCTTGATCGCACGTCGGACAGGTATGAAGAGACTCGGCAATAATAGCGAAGGCGTATAGCTTCCGGAAATGACTGTATCACCGGCGACTATTTGTAGGGAAGTTTTCAACCTTAAACGAAATTTATCCAAATTTATCGATCAGCGACGCGATCGAGCGGCAGATTTCCTTTTACTTTTTTTACAGAGCAATTAGACATTTTGAAGGCGTGTTTCTTTCTTCAGATCGCATAGCTAACGCAACAATTATCAGGCTACGGGGCATACCGAAGGATAGTGATCAACCGGAAAGGAGAAACGGGAAATGCGCGGTAAATGCGTGGGAAACGAATAAAGTCGGTGAAAGAAGGAACGCGCGATCGGAAAGGGAATAGAAATTTAGTAAAAGACGTAATGCCATCTGAGAGACGGAGAAAATCTACGCTATCGACAACCGGTGTAAATGGGTGGAGTGAGAGAGAAAAAAAAAGGAGACGAGGAAAGGAAACTCGATCGGTAAGTTAGAAAACTGCGTTGCAAAACTGTTCGTAGTTGATCGCGATGGAGGCAGAAACGAGTTAACTTCCGACGAACGTGCAGAGTCGCGCACGAGTCTCGCTGTCGATAAAAAGGTCTGCAAGGGTGTAGCGTTCGTTTATCAGGGATACCGAATAGCATAGGAGGGAAAAGAGAAAGTTTGGAACGTCTCGTCGTTCGGAACATCGCGTCTCTAGTAGAGCGTTCCGGATAAAGAAGGGGTTAGAAGAAGGTCCCGTGACGTGATCGAATAATTCGCAAGGTACAAAGTATCGTCGACACTTTGTTGGCGTCTTTGAAACTTTGCTCTTCGATTTTACGAAGTTTACAAAGTTTCGTTTCACGAAGTGCGTACTCGTGTTTGAAATAAAAAGAAAAAAAAAAAAAAAAAAAAAAAAAAAAAAAAAAAAAAAAAAAAAAAAAAAAAAAAAAGATGGGAAGAAAATTGTCTCTACGCGTTTAACGACTTTTCGCGCATTGCTGCAACATCGAAGGGTAATGTTTCGATAAATAGGACGAAAAGGAGTTGAAACAAAGAAAAAGAGAGGGCTCAAGAGAGAGAGGGCTCAAGAGAGAGAGGAATTGAGAGAGGGAGAGGGAGAGGGAGAGGGAGTGGGAGAGGGTGGGGGGAGAAAGAGATAGTAAAGAATATCGGATATTAAGAGACGCGCGCGGTTCGTCATTGTCTGGTGGCTAAAGTACATAAAGTATAGCGATTCTTACCTGAAGTTCTGCTTGCGAAACATCGATCTCTCCTCTGTAGACGAATTCTATGATGAACTTGAGATCATTGAAACATACGTCTTGGGGCATAATGATCGTCGGATGTTTGCAGGGATTCGAAAGTAGGAGCTTTTGAAAGTAGGAACTGCACGCCGATAATACCACCTGCGCAAACAGAAGGAGCTGTATCGAACGATCAATAACGTAGGTAGAGGAAAATCGGCGCATCGGGCTAGAGACATCACGATACGAGATGAGAACAACGACGGCGACGGCGACGGCGACCGCGACCGCGACCGCGACCGCGACGACCGGTACTGTCATAGTACTACACGTGTACGCGTGTAGGTGTGCTGGTAAAAATGATAATTTGGCAGCGGATCGGCGAATCGTGCCGGCGAGATTGGCCGTTAATCGAGAGCGAAAAAAGAGGAAAATCGCGATGGTCGGGTAGCGATATCTCTGACGATTCGCTTACCTTGTGCGCTTTTAAGGAAGCTTCGTTGCATGCCAGCGTGACGTCCACGAAAGCTTCGGTCTGAAGGAGTTGGTGGAAAACGGACGTCATGTTCGATTGGTAGTTATTCCAGCGCAGGCAGTAGTGCTGCCCGGCCATGCCGCCGCTGCAACAGAAACAGCAGGGAAACGATCACTTCTTCTCGATCTCGGAGGAGTTGTCTGGATCGTGGAAAGATTTCGATGGAAAAATCGAAAAGTCGTCTCTGGTTCATGGACGAGACGCGTTTTCGTTCTTTCGTCGCGAGTCACGATACGAGTTATTTCTCGTAGCGTGGTGCCCTTCTTCCTTCTTCCAAATCGATCCGTAAAGCGAGACAGTACCTGTAGTGTACGCCCCAATAACGATCCGTCTCCATGAAATATTCGTTTTCCTTTGCGAGCACTGTAACGAAAAGTATCGGCGGCGGTGTGGAGATGGTTCGGTAGGGTGATCGGTAAATGCTAGGAAATAAAGCTAGACGAAGAAGAGGGAAGGAGAGAGAAAAGAGAAAGATAGGTAAAGAGATGGGTAGAAGAGTGGAAGGGTAGAAGAGTGGAAGAG